TTCTCTCTTTCTCTCTTCCTTCCCCTACCTGTGTAGGGCTGTTTGGTCTTCACAATGTGAGACAGCGGGGGTCGTCATGGCGGTCTGGACTCCGAAGCTGGTAGGCCTGGCCCCCAACCCTGGAGCACACTTTGGGAAATGTGGGCCACCTCTCTGAGCCTTAGAGGATGCCTCTATCAAGACAGAAGGAAGGGCCTCTCTGGTGGCTCAAAGGGTTAAGACACAACCTATGAAGCTGTCCGCAGCCTCTGCAACACGAGTTCGACCCCTGGCCGGGAAGCAGCCCACATGGCACAGCAGACCTCTCCTGTCTCACCCACTGCTCCCCTCTGTATTTCAGTCAGTCTGCCTATTCTGTCCCCTACTGTCTCTGGTGAATCCTCTCTACCCCCACATCTCTGGCCTATACCCCAGCTCTTGTATGCAGAAATGAATAAATCTATCTGTAAAAAAAAAAGACATAAGTAATCCACCCCAAACGTATTGCCTCTGCACTGGTGTATTTAGCTTAGATGCATTTGAATCTGCATCAAATAGGTATACTAAAATTCTCAAAATATTACATATCCGTAAGGGTAACCTACCTTTGCAGCCCTAACTCAAAGTTGAAGATCATGCTATATTTTACCAGATTATTTTAAGTTAATGATGATGTTCTTTAGCATTTTGAAGGCAAGGGGAGAGATACAACCACTGATGTTTAAAAGTTCAGAACTGTCAAATAATTACCTAACTCTTCTTAGATGATATGTGTGGGAGGATAGTGTTGGCTAGTCCAGTTCATATTAAAATATTCTGAGAATTTATCATGCACAGAAATACGAGGTATTATGTAAAAAAAAAATGCATATTTTTTTCTGAATGCATGAAGCGTGATATATCCTTTCCAAGTTTAATCCCGTTGATGAATTTACTGAGACTGCTTTCTTCCACAGATGAACTAGCAATGACCTTCACCTTCTAAGATTCATTTTTATCCTCTTCAGGAAGTAGCGGATATAAAATTAAAAGTAGGTAAAAGGAAGACAGATGATTTTTTTCACAGATATCATTCCTGCAACCTTGTGACTTAGGAGATATTTCTCATAGATACTTGTTCTTCACCCGGTTCCTGGCTCACAGCTCCCTTTGAAATTCCCAAAGTGTTGTGAGTGACACAGATTTCAAGCTAAGTGTGGAGGGGCGGGTTGCCCAGAAAGTCAATGCGAGTAGAGGGTGGGAAGCTCAGTCCCTCTCTGACCATCGGAGAGGAGAAAGGGCGCTGGTGATCGAGTTCCATTTCCAAAGGCCGGTGAGTTAACTATCCTCATGTCATGAAGCCCCATAAAAGCCCAGAAAGGAGGAGCGTCAGGGATCTTCAGGCTGGAGAACACTTGAAAATCTGGAGAACAGCACACCTGGAGAGCACACAGGACTCCCATCTGTCCCTCCATCCCTCGCTCTGTGAATCTTTTCCATCTGCTCTTCCTTCAGACACTTCAGTATCCTTCGTCATAAACCAGTGATCTAGTGAGAAAACAGGTTTCCTGAGTTGGGTGCAGTTCTAGCAAATTAATCCAACCTGCGGTAGGTGTCCTGGGAACAGTTTACTGCATTGTCAAAGCGCAGGACCTGGCTTGCCAGGGCACCTCAAGTCTTGAGGAAGGGGTCGCTGAAACCTCCAGTCTGTAGCCAGTTGGTCAGAAACACAGGTAACTGTGGGGCTGGCCTGGGGCCTCTGAAGGGGGTTAGTTTGGGGAGACTGAACCCTTTACCATGGAAGCTGCCGCTCGCCAGGTGGTGTCAGAACCGAGTTGAATTCTCAAGACACCCTGGGGTATTGCTTCTTGATTCCCGGAGGCCCCCCACCCCCATACTCCAGCTGGAAACTAAGCTGCAGGACACCACCAACTACAAAATTCCTATGAAAGGGATTCAAAAAGAATATTAACTAGAATTTTGATACACATTCTCCTCTCATCCTTCCATTCCGGAGAGGCAGACGTGATCTCCTCGTTATAGATGAAGATGCTGGGTCACAGCTGTTTCCTGCGTGTTTGCCCAGAGTTTCTTAGTTTGGAAACCGGGCTGAGGACAGAGCTCCGTTTTTAACTCCAAGGTCCATCTCCTTTTCTTGGAATTGAAATTTAAGTATCTTCCAGTCTACACAGTTCTTAGGCTGTCTTCATGCTCTGTGCCTGCATTTTATGACATCCCTTTCTTGCCCCATCAAGGGCCACAGACCCATTTACTTCCAAAATGATAGTGTTGTTTACCCTATAAACATCTTAGAAAGTTGAAAAAAATCTCAAGTAGCCCAAAAAAGTTAGCTATGGGCGAGCATTAGGAAGCAGTTATCAGGTTATTGGCCAAATAGGATCAACGGATGGAATTACCCCTGCACCTATTCCCAAGTACTCTTCCCATTTCATGACTTGAGTCTCCCTCCAACACTGTTAAGGGGAAAGTGTCATTAAATGTAAGAAAACTGCTAGCAGTGACCCACGGTCTAGCGCACACTCAAAACCCCATCCACCCTCAGAAGACTCAAAGCAAAGCAACCATATGAACATTAATTAGTGACCCAGGAAAATATCCATGTTATGAAATATATATAGGTTAATTCTATTTTTGTGCAAAATAAAAACCAGGAGCATGTTTACGCATCTATAGACATGTAAGCAAAATACACTGATTAGCACACACACCAAATAACTACCCTGACAGTGTACAAAGCACATGAACATTTTCACCTTTTGCTTTGTCTTTTAGATATAAGTAATATTATGGGTGATTTTCACCTTTGTTTAGTACTTACAAAATCTCATTTTTTTCCCACATTTTAATGTTTTCCAGAATATAACCAAGATAGCTTTCATCTTGAGTTCGGGACAGCACTCGCTCTGTCTGGAACTCCCTATTGACACCATCCTCTGGAAGTGCGTAGTAGAAGCTTGGATTTGCAAACCTGAGATCCCAGAGAAATGTTTGGTTTCCCTTCTCATAAGATGTGCGTGAAATGCTAGTATGTGTGTGAGTGCTCAGAGGCGCAAGGATTTTGAAAACATTCATGGTTCCCATTCCTAGGTCTATTAATACATTATCTTTAGGCATCATTAACCTGGTCAACTGCTTGTTAACTTTGACTATGAGGAGTCCAAAATGTCATAAACCTGTTTAAGAACCTAATCATTATAAGGCACTGAAGTATGACAAGAACAGATCAATTCTTCAGCCTCAATTCCAGCCAACTGCATATCTGAACTACCTAGGATTTAGGAAGACTTCGGTAGAGGAAGTGGCATTTCTAACTTGCTTAGGAAAGTCCTAATTCAGCTTTGTTTGCTCAGGAACCAAATGGAAGATTCCCAAAGTTACGTTCCCTCTCTACAGAGGCTCTAAACTAAATGCAAGTAAGACAGTCATTTGATTAGCAAACTCCAGCCATGTGAGAAGACAGCTGCCAACAGCACAGCTGCTAGTTTCCCAAGCTGATTTTCATCACCCCACAACTATCACAAGCATGGAAAAACACTTAGGTGCACAGATCAAGTCTGGTCAAAATATGAGAAATCGACAATAAATGAAACTCTGAGGCCTCAAAGTTTGTGCAGCAGACCCAAGTAACCTGGGCGAGCAGCTGACCAAAATGCCAATTCCCCAAGTTAAAAGGCAATTTAGTTAAGCTAAAATGCAATTTAGTTAAGCAACCAAAGTCTTTGAAAGGCCATTTTAACTCCAAATGAGGACCATTAACAGCAACATCAGTGTTTTCTGAAATTTTATTATTTTTAATGGGTTCATAACAAAATGAAGACCAAAAGTTTCTTTCAAACATTCTAAGACAACATAATTAAGACCATCAGCACTCATGCCTACAGCAAAGGTCAAGTCACGACTAGCCTGCCCAATTCTGAAAATATAACCCTCAAAAATGAAATAGTGCTGTTTAACTCCACAAAATATTTTCAGTGAAGCAAGGATGACTTAGTTAGCTTCATGAGAATGCCATAAAGCATGATCCATAGCAGAGTCACAAATGACTGTCCCTCACACAAAAGTAAACTGTCTTAATTGGGAAGATAGTTTATCACTAATCATTTCTTTAATAATGAAAAACCTTATAATATAGATTACTTAAAAAAAAAAACCTATACCACAGAAAATATACCAACACCAAGGTTATTTTTAGTCAATAGTTTTGAGTTCGCCTTTAATCCCTTTTCTTATTTCTTGCTTAACAATGTTCTGAGTCTTCCAGCTAAAACCAAGGTACTTCTTGGAATTCTTTATAGACTTCTTCCTTGGGAAAAACACTCTCCTTCTGACCAAAAAAATACTAAGAAATCCAATGGAACTGGATTTCATTACGTGTTTTTTTTTTTTTAAAGTGATGTGCTTTTAATTTAAGAATTACTATAATACAACAAACTTTATTTTTTCATTCATAAAAACAGTCCACAGCATTCATAAAACAGGGTGGCAGAAGAAATAAGAGACACTTTTCAGGTGGATTCTTTATGTTTAAGAACAGATGAGTTGGTAGCAATTTAATACAGATGGAAAACAAATACAACCACATAAAAACAGGATTTAAAAGGGGGAACGTAGGAAATTTATCAACCAAAGTTAATTTAGAGCTTTCAGGCATGCAACTCAACATCCAAATTTTCTCCACTTGAAACCAAACTAAGTGCTTCAATAGCTGTTCAGAAAGGAGGCCACAAAAATACTGCAAAAATGTTAGTCTTACATTTAACACCCAAAAAAAAAAAAAAAAAAAGGCGAGAAAGGAGAAATGAATAAATCCCCAGCTACCCCCAGGCTAATCATAACAAGTTTACCCTAACAGAGACAGACAGAAGAAAAAATAATTTTGTACAGCTTATTTCTGAGGTACAATACCTTAGAGCTCTCATTTGGGTGCTTCCTGCTCATGCTCTTTTTGGTCTAAACAAATATGGTTAATGTAATGGAATACATATTGAAAGAATTTCTTAAAAAAAGAATCACAAGTTTCATTTTATATATACAACAAATTTTTAATTATGTACTGAAAATAAATTACAGGAAATAACTTTAAAATGCAACAGAGGACAAAGTCACGATAAACATTCCCATTGAATTCCCTTGGGGGTGGGGTGAGATTGCAGTGCTCAAGGAAGATAAATATCACAAATATATCAAAAACTTCAAATTGTCTATGCATTCACACACGGACATGAGCCACAAACATTCCTTCACAGGGACTGTACTTATTAGCCTACCACAGAACCAGATTTTGCCATAAACTACAAAACTTTTAATACAAAATCGTATTTATATATTTATAATTCATATACATGCCCTATCTGTGATTTTAGAAAATAAAAGCTACACACTGTACAGACACTCTTAACTCATAGCTGTAGGCAACATTTTTGGATGGAATTTCTCCCCCAATAAAATTAATGGCATATTTTATGTACATGAAGGCGAAACTGCATAAAGACAGTTCAGTTTCCCAGATATGCATCTCCTTTTAGGGCAGGTTTATAAATTTAAAAAGGCAAGACAAATGTACACCTCAGAATCACTTTCTTAGCTACAAGAGTTGTCATGTGATTGCTGTGAAGTTTCTGACACATGCATTTATGTAATACTGGTATTGAAGGCAGTAAAGCAATATATACTTTTAATGTAGTGGCTCAATAAAGGCTTCATTGTCATTCCCATCTGATTCTTGATACAGTGATTCATAACTTCTCTAAAAATTAAAATTTCAATGGGACACTGTGTTAAAGAGACTCTGAATAGATTTCTTAAAATATTTCCCTGAAATATCCTTTTACATAAGACAAAGTTCACTAACATTAGATTAAGAAAAAGGGGGGGGAAAGGATTAAACATGGCACAAATGTGCGTGATGAAACTAACGCTCCTCAGCCAATCTCCATGTCTTTGGAGCCGTGAACAGAACGCTTAAAACCAACAAACAATTGTCACACTCTGTGGCAGCCATCTGTGAAGCCAGTTATACTAAACTACTTCTACAGTTGATTGTAAACTTTGGTTTATTTTTATTTGAGTTCTCATTGTACAGCAAGCATGAAAAAAAGGGAGAGTGGAGTCCATGAGGAGATGAACTGTCAGTCTGTCTTTAATCTGGCATGATGAGACACCTGGTCAGTCAGGCCTGCTTTGATGGAGTTTGTTACAGATTGCCTTATGTTTTCCTCCATCAAATTATCACCCAGGGGCTTCAATACCTGTGGTATGAGAAATGTGCAAAACAAATAAAAACATGAGGTAAAAAAAGAGTTACATATAAAAATAGATATAAAAATTCAATTCAAAGCAATGATGAAAAATAACCAGGAATGTGGGAAATAAAAAGATGCGTCTCCCAAAAAAAGGCATGATGCTACAAACAATGCAGTTAGACACTTCATAAAGCAACAAAAATTACTTTCCTCCTAATCAAACCATTTACAGTTCCTATGAGATGGATGTGCAATTCCATACCCTATATGCAGCATCAAATCTGGTATGTATACAGCATTTATGCAGACCGGCCCAGACGGTCCTGCTTATTGTCCTACATGTGTAAGTGTGAACACTTCAGATAGAGAAAAAAGGTAAAAATACTGTCTAATTTTTCTTCTTGTTATTGTTAGATGACAGTCGCTGTCGCTGTGCGGATGAAAGAGCACGATGGACCATTCGACGTCTAGTAACTTCAAACAGTTTGGAAAACACCTAAAACATGGAGTGATTCGTTAGGAGAATGACTTGGAGTGCCGTGCAGTTAAAGAGTTTAAGACTACAAGAATTTAAGACTATGTAGGTTTCTCACCTTCCTGGGACTCCTCTGAAGCAAAAGAAAAGAGAAATGCAAAAAAAAATTTAGACAAGGTTTCTTCACACAGCACAGACCCTCTCTGACTACTGATAACCTTACCTTGACTATATTGAAAATTACTTTACAAACTTTATAGATTCTTCCATTTAATTGTCTTGTAATAAGGGCACTTCTAAAATACCAGAAACAATGCTATACAGGAGCTGACTGGTTTCCAAAAGAAGACATTGTGCAATTATTGAAATTTGTGTTTTAAAAAGAAATTCATGTTGCAGTAAATAATGGTCCAAAATTTTGTATGAAAGCTTTTCAACCATCTTCTGTTAGAAAATATCGAAGGAATATGAAGTAGTGAGATTTTTATCAGAGATAAAAATTTAAATTTAAGAAATATCCAAATGCATGTTTCCAAATCAATCTGAATAAACAAAACATTGCCCTAAGGAAAAAATACAAAATCCAAATTAATAGGTCAGTTTATCAAATCATAATGACATTATTACAGGAAAATCAGCATCCAGCCAACTTTCTTCAAAAAATGGTTTATTTCTTCAGTCTTTGAAATTAAAGCCAAAACAATCATGGACCTTCATATCCCAGGTCTTCAAGTAAGATCAAAACTTCATCAATTCAAAAATGCTATCTGAAAATGACTATTTTACTGTCCATGAATAATATCTGCAGCTTTCATGCTGGCCTTTGACATGATGCTCAAGCACATCTCGATGATCATTTTAATGACAACATTCTTCAGTGGAACTTTCTGTACACAGGCAATTCCAGCAAACAACTGAACAACACACCACATTGCTTTCCATAGTAGATACTTGGCAGGTAGGACTGAATTCTGGTTTGAGGTAAAAGATCATGATTTGAATTCTGGCTGAGGAAAAGATTATGATTAAAAGATGGTTTTCAGTGGCACTGTCCCTTTTCCTTAGTGTTTCCATAGTACAGAGATCAAAGTTTCTTTGGCTTACGAAATTCCTACAGGGAAGTTCCCTGGAGTACATAGCAAATCACTACTCTAATTCGTGGCAGGCAACAAAGACCCAAATACTATCCAATATTATTAAGCAATTTCTTTTGCTTACCGTCAAAAATCAGTAACTACATTTTCGTTTCTCACTGCCTGCTGTCTGGCATAAACAGGCCTATGGCTAAGACTCTATCAGAGGATAATCACATTATGACTTTAAAGAAAAAAAAAAAAAACTCTCCAGTTCATACTTTATATTCAGATTGCACATCCAAACAAACCAGAAAATATCCTTTTGATAGTCCTAATATAGAGCAAAGTAGGTATCAAATGCTGTAAGGGTGGGAAAAAGTCACAGAGATAAGATTAGTTAATGAAAAACCAAAAGATAAATACCAACCTGTTCCCATAGTGTTTCAGCAATCTGATCAATCATTGTTCCAATTTCTCTGAACTCCCCAGAGTATTTCACATATGCCCATGTACAAAGAGATGTCAGTGCCAACCCCATGATAAGGTTACACAAGACAGCTATAGAGTTTAGGCCAATGAAGCCAGTCAGTCCTGAGATTATATACATAGCAAACATGACTGCAAATAGTGTGGCAGGGGTACGAGCAGCATAGAAGATGTTTTTGCCATCATTGTGCTTTATAAAATTTGCATAGGTTTCTTCAATTTCAGCCTCAAGCTGGTCCTGATAACGACGGCAGAATTCATCTCCACCCATTTTTTTTACGGAACGAAACTGTTTAAGAGCCACTTCCTTGAGATCCAAGTGTTTTCGCTCCAGATCTGAAGGTGCAATGTAAGGCTTGTCGCCACCGCATACCTGGACAGACAGGATTACAGGACAGATTACAGGCTAGAAATAATTTATACCTGAAAGAAATTCCCTGCTCATGTTTCAGTCTCAAAAAAATCAAACCATCTATAATTGTTTTAAATGTATTCATTAATACCTCACATGTAATTGTGACTTATTTCTTACATGTTTAACTTACTCAGGCAAAATAAAATTTTCAAATAAGACAAATACCAGTAAATACAAAAAAAATTACACTGCAATCTGTGTTTACTTGACTACACTCACCAATTTCAATAGAGGACAAAAGACTGGTGGCAAAAGAGTAAGAAGGGTATATTAATGCCTCAGATATTAGCAAGCTTAGTACAGACACTGCTATTGGTCTTAAGCAAATGTTACTTCCATCAGAGGCTATCAATAACAGCACTATGCATCACGTGTCAGAAAAAACATTTCAGAGTAGTTTATGTAAGAACTAACCACCTGTGTCCTGCACTCTAACCATGTGATCTATTGGCTTCATTTATTTCCAGCAAAAACTGATAAAGGGAAATGAGCCAATGATGTCACATGACAATGCATAGGGAGCACAAATTAGCCCAATTCTTTTAAAGAGGAAAATCTTTTATTTCACTCTAGTGTCAGATTTAAATTTTAGTTACAAACCTGTTCCATACTTTTGCAATAGACATCTCTTGCTCCTGCTACTGCAGCAAGATTATTAGCTTCAGCTGTTGCCTAAAAAATAAAATGTGCCAATTTTATGCCAAAAATACTCAATGTCTCTATAAATTTTGATAACTACAGTAAGTTATATACAATAAAAAGTCTGAAAATGAACCAGAGAAAGTATTATCAACTTCCAGCTTTCCTTTCCATGAAAGGGAACACCAGTATTAAGGCAGAATGATTGCCTCTAATTGGCTGCCTGCCTAATTTTGTTTTGCTTAGGTTTGTTGAAAGGGGTTTGTAGAAATTACCATGCATGTTCCGGAAATAAAATTAAAAAGAGAGAACCCTAAAATGTGCTGAGTCTCCAGATGCAAAAAATCAAGAACTATCTTGATTCTGGTTCTATCTCTTTATCAGTATTACACAAGAGACATGTTGAAATTCACAGAATGGATTATGTGATTTTTATGAAGAAACACTTGTTTAGTCCACTATAAAACTGAGAAGTTGCCCAAAGTTGCAAATATTTAAAAACATGAACTATGTTAAAATAAGACTGCCCCAAAAGTACATCTTTTAAAAATTCAAAAGGAAAAAAAAATCTATATTCACTAGAAGCTGCTCTACATCATTAATAACAACAGAAAATTAGTTATTTCAAAACAGCATTTATTGTCAAGGACTCAGAGAACAAAGCAACTTAGTTCAGAAGGACCCACATAAAGTCATCTTCTGCCACAGAAAATTTCCTCCACTTTTTCAGCATGGTAAGGAAAGGTACTGAGGACTCTCATTTCTGATGGCCTATGTGTACAAGGTCTACAATCTCTAGATACAAAAACTTCATAAAAAAACTTTTTGGGCCCATGACATGTTAGTTTTAAGTATCTAAAACTTATTTGCATGCAAAGACGCACCACTCCATTTCCATCATTTATCGCTAAGGAATTTTTTCTCCTTCATAAATAAATAGATGTAACAACACACACACACTACCTGAAGCATGGACTTTGGATGTGGAAGTTCCTCTCCTTGATAAATTTTAATGTAAGCCTAAAAATACAGAAGGCTCATTATATCAATAGGTCATGCAATTTGGCTCTACATCTCCAAAGAAAGAAAAATCATTAAATATAAAATGATTCATTCACACTATTCAAAGGAAAGACTAAACTTTAAAAATCATACTCGCTCATTCCTTTTGATTGTCTTCTCAATATTAAACACAAATGCTGCTAAACAACATCCTAGAGAAATGTTTTCTAAATTCCAACTTCCATAAAAGTTATCTCATATTTTAATGTTATAGGTAAAATACCATTCACTTTATGAAACGAAAACCATAAATCTGCCCTATTACCTATGCTTCAAATAAATGTTAGTTTTTGACTTTGATCAGTTTAATATTGTATTTCAGTTCAAGAAAGAAATTAACTAATTTATGATTTAAAAGTAAGAAGGAAGAAATGGGAGTTTTAGTAATTCCATTTAGGAATTTTTCATCTGAACTTTCTACTGATTCTTTTATTATATTGTTTCTACTGATTCTAATTCATAAATACAGTATGAGAGTAATCATTAAGTGTCTGTTAAGTGGACAAAAATACACTCTTAATTCACTGTTATTTGCCCTTCCACATATCTCTTTACTATGAAGACAACCCTCGACAATTGTCTTGACCTGGCAAGGAAGCTATAAAAACTAGGGAAGAGTAGAGGAAAATAAATCTTGTACCTATTTACTTGAGCTCAGAAAACACTTTTATTACTTTCAAGCTCCTCTTATCAAGTCCTCAGAAAGGAGAGAAAGCTTTTATAACTGGAGATAAAAAAAAACTGTACTCCTAATAACTATTATCATTCACAAATGACAGGGTGGTATTACAGTAATTTGGCAAATGTTAACTTTCTCCATATTGAAGCTGGAAAAAATGGTGGATAATTCTATAAACAAATAAAATCACTGTACAGAAATGCAAGTTGTCTGCTACAATCTTTTAAATACCTTTAAACACTGACACATCCAAATTAAGGAAAAATTACAATTTTTTTTGCTTTAAAATAATTTCTTGTATAGACATGAATTATAAATCATCTATAATTCCAACTTAGACACAACCATTTGAATCTAAGCGTTTTCCTACCTTAAAGTATTCTACAAGATCTCTACAAGTGACTTTAGATCCACTGATCTCTTTTTCTACCAAATTTTCAGGGGCAAGCAGCAATGGAACCAGATTTCGAAGCTCTCGTTTAAAGTCCTCATCAATATCTGGTGGACATGAAATTAGTCAACATATTAGTGCAAAAAAATAAATGTCTTCACTGGTAAATGTTCATACAATTCTGTCTCATGAGACAGTAGTACACAGGATCTTAACCAGATTAACTCCTTAAAAAAACGCATTCAAGAAAATTTATCTTATCCCCTAGGGGAAAATATAATCCCGTACTCTGCTCCCCCTTTCCCTCATCCCCAATAATTTTTCAGCTTTGAACAAAAAAGATTGTGGTGTACCAAGACAAATTTCACATTATGTATTTTTTTTTTTTTTTAAGATTTTTTTTTTTTTTTAATTTATTTATACAAGCACTGGGTACAGTCAGAAGTGCGGGAGGGCGAGAGAATTCACCAGAGCCAGAGCGGGGAGCAGAGCAGGCAGAAGGACCGAAGTACACTGCTGAGGGGAGCAGCGGGCGGCAGGAGAGGTCTGCGCGCCATGTGGGACCCTCCTCTGGTGGCCGGGGAGCAGCCGGGGATCGAACCGGCGCTGCAGAGGCTGCGGGCAGCTTCGCAACCCAGCGCTCAACCGCTGCGCCACTGGGGAGGCCCTTCACATTATGTATTAATTAAATTAACTAAAACACACACAAAAAAATTATACTATCACCCCTGAACAGAGAGAATTAATTCTGACTGCACCAATACAGCATAGGTAAAACTTTTTAGCAGACAGCAAAGCATGTGAAATACTGAAATGTTCTCAGTCTTCAGAATTTTTAGAACATCAGTGCTGAGCCACAGACCACATAAAATAGGTTAATCATTATTCTAGGCATTTGCAACAAACCAATGGTATGCTAGAAAGACCACAGAGAACATGACAATCATATCATTAACAACACAGAAAATTTAAGCAACCATGTATTTTTAAAAAACTTTCAGCCTCTAAAAAATAAGTTCTGATTTCAGCAAGAATGGGAATTCCCACCTTTCAATCTCCCATCAAAACTAGGATTAGTTGCAACTTTAAGACCAGGATGTGGCAAAAGGAAGCAACCAAGATTTGAGAAACAATTGTGAATGTGCTTCCTTACATTCTGGAGCTCTTCATGTTGATTTTGTTTAACCTGAGGGAGAAGGAGACAGGGTGAAGGTTGCACTGATTTTTTTAAAAACACACACTCACACGCTCCCGTACATGAACACTCAACTTAGGTGCTACTCTAGATGGGTGTTTTTTGATAATGTAAAATATTACCAAAGACCTATTTCTGACCACTTTGGCAAGACCCCACTCAGTCTTAAACCAAGAAAGTTGTTTTTTCCTGTGTTAACTGCCAAGGATACCAAAAAGTATAAACAATAATTAGACAAATATCTAAAACATACAAAAGTTGTGGTTTTATGGTTTACAATCCATAAAATAAGAAGTTGTCTTTTAATCACTTTATCACATAATGGGAAAGAGAAAAGAAAGAAAAGTAGTAACTTCCTTACAAATCAAAGGTCAGATCTTGAGCAAAATAACAGCTAAGGTGAAAAGCTCCAGTGTAGCCCTAACAACCTCAGAAATCTGTTAGGATGTCAGCAGTTTAAACAGTAACTCATGATTTTTTTTTTTTTTTTTTTTGGTGGGACTCTCGCCGGGGAATGAACCGGTGCTGCAGAGGCTGCGGGCAGCCTTGCAGCCCAGCGCTCAACCGCTGAGCCACCAGGGGAGGCCCAACAGTAACTCATGATTAATGCTATTTATTACTATTTTGGGAAAAGAGATTGTCATGCATATTCTTGAAGACAGTCTTAAGCTTACACTATTTTTAACAATTACTTATTCAAATATAACTCATTCACATATCTTTCCAGGCTCTTCTCAAATACTATTCTTAAAAAAGAAAAAAACAAAACACCACCGCATCATTCATAATCAACAAAACCTGCAAACCACCTAACTCTCCATCAAGAGTAAAAAAGAAAACGTGTCTATCCATACAATGGAATACTGCAAAGCAATAAGCAAAAACAAACTAAACATGCAGTGATAGGGACTGACATCAGAAACAAATAATTTGGCAGGAGAAGACATACAAAAGAACACACAGTGTGTATGATCCTTTCATAAAAAGTGTAACAGCAAACAAAGCCTATTAGAGTTCAGGATAGTGGGTGGGGAGGAAGGTCTACTATATGCAGCTGGATTAATTAATTAGTTATGTGACGAAGGGCAAGTTACTTTTCTGGGTAATCGTTGCATTATAAACATAAAAGGCTTAAGCAGATGAAGTCTACAAATGCCTCTTGTAGCTCTATCTGTGGTCACTCTGGGAGACCACTTCTTGGAATAAGGGTCTCACTCATCATCTATGTGCAACACATGCACATTCTACCATCTGGCCTGCTTCAAATGTCCAGCAGCTCAGCTGGGCCAGAAAGAGACATCCAAGCAATCTAAGTAGATGAAAAGTTAAGTCTCCTTCAAATTTTCATCCTTTATTTACTTAGAGGGCAGCTGGTTGTGGAGAGAAATATTTATCCTTAGTTTCTACTCAAGGACATTGGGGAATCATGTCTGAAGTCACCTGGGCTAACCTAGGTATGCGGCCTATTCCAAAGACACTGCAGAAAACAGCGGCCAACACAGCACTGCAGTAGCCCGCTCCTCTAGCTGGTTGGGTGCTTCTGTTCTCTTTAAAAAATGGGGGCTTACCTGCAATCTCTTTTCAAGGAATTGTTTTCCACCTTCCAAACCATATGAATGTTCATAAGGGTAACTCCAATCTCGAATCAAGAACATTAATGTCTAAAGATTAAAAAAAAAAAATCATTTCTTACAAAATTTTACAAAAATCATTACTTCAACAACTGAAGCCTCCCCATCTCCGCTAAATAATCTTTATCAGAAGTTATAGTCACCAAATGGTTAGTATTGCTCATAATTATCTGAAGGGTTTACCTAAATCAATACCACCGACAACCCCTATACCAAACAATTGCCTCCATTTGAGAACCTCACTGTATATAAGGAGACGTCACCACAGGCAATAATAAAGGATTTTTAAAGTTATTTATCCCTTTAGGAATAGATTTTTAAATGATAAAATACTTATTTACCTGAAATGGTTTCTGGTAGATTTCTTCCATTGCAAGTCTGCCATACTCTGTAAATAACTATTAAATCAAATTATTTAAAATAACGCCCCCAAAGAGATTGAAAGACATTTATAAAACTGTTCTATATCAGACCACCAGATATCAGAATGTTTAAAAAAATTTGGGAGTTCAAGCACTTCATTTTTTAACACACCAGATATATATTAAAATCTCTTTTACTTCAGTCATACATCTGTGATTTTAAATCACAGAATAGTCAATCTTCTACCATGTTATAGGCGTCTAAGACATAAATTCACAATAAAGTGGGAATTAAGTTTTGAATATTCTTTGAGACTACGTACTTGCAAATGTTGAAGATCATCTTCTTGAATATTCTGAGACAAATTATATACCTGTTAAAAGAAAATTTTGTTATTATTTGTGTATAACTTGTGGAAATAAAGGCTATTTTATACCTCAGCACAAATGAATGGCTGAGCCACTATCTTAACCAGTGGCATGCGAAAAGGATTTTCTCTTTTTTCTTACCATCAGGGTAAACATTAAGAGGGAAGTAATGGTAGTAAATTATGTAAAAAATATCAACACACAAAAATGGAAGTCTAGAAAATGGCAGCCATAAAAATGAAGTGTATTATGCAGTTTCTTTTTCTCCTCAAAGAAAAAGTGAAAACTATTTCCACATTTTTCTATGTCAACAAATATAAGAGGCACAGTCCTCCCTGGAATAGAGTAAACACTTCAGAGTATTCACTGGATGCCTTGACTACCATCAGTCTAATGTGGTCTCTTTTTACTTGTGTAGAAAATCCTCAAACTACACAACATGAAATTCTCACCAGCTTGTGCAACAGTAGATGGCACCCTTGCCCTTTCTAGAATTTTTAGAAGTGTTCCAAGGCACAAACCCCAGAGCTGATAATGGAAAGTCCAAGGATTCTCAGGAAAGGGAAACTGGAGAAAAGATTCACTAGGTTCAGTCTGCTGAGTCAGACCTTTAAAAGGTGATTTAGGTCACCAGAGGAAAAAAGTGGGTATCCCTAGATGTCATCTCTGCTAAGGTGTCTAAGAAAACAGGGTTACTCCAAAAACAGAAAAATCTGTTCTAACAGCAGATAAGTGATAAGCTAGCTGAACCACTTGGAGGTCAAGAATATAAATAGCCAATATAGACCAGCAAAACTAAAATATTTTCAGCTGACTGATTTCAAACAAGACAACCTGAAAGCATAATCAACCTATTCCTAGCCATATGGGTCTGAGTTGTTAGAAAATAGATCGAGATGCAACACAGGACCAGGTTGCAAATAGTAAATAGAGAAGATGTGTTTACCTTTGATCATTAGTTCTTACCATACTGCCTTTTATTTAATAGATGCTCAATAATTACATGCCAGGAGGATCAACTTGTTATTGATCTAGTAGCCAGAAAGCTCATGTAATGAAGGAAAGAAATTCAGCTTCAAAGATCAGGAAGAAGGCAATAATAAAAATAATTTTAATCTTCTTGATTATCAGTAGCTTACAGAGCACTTTCTTATGCATTATCTCACTTCTAACCGCATACAACAACCACATTTGAGATAAACAAGATAGGTGAAATCCTTATTTTATAGACAACAAAGAGTTTGAGTACCTTTAAATGTTGTCCAAAGCTAGAACTCCTCCTATCATAAAGTTGCATAACTAAACAAGAGGACACCAAAGTACAAGTTTTGGGACAGACAATTCCCTCATGACAATTTAAGGCATATACTAAAACCAACTAACATGAGAGGCTATAATGTAATAATATAAACACAAAGATATAATTTCTGCTTGCCTCAAAGAAATGGCAGTTGTGACATTGCAAGATCAGACAAAAAGATGAAGAACAAAATGGAAAAAAGAGACTTTAAGAATCCTTTATAGCGTCACTTAATTGGCAATGACAGAGAGCCCAAGTCCTATAATAAACAGAAGTCAAGCTGAAAAGCACTCCTCTTTTTAAACTTTCTTTCCACTCTGACAGTTATATACTTCAAATTGAGGAAGGAAATGGGAACTTATGCAGACAGGTCATGTGAAGTATTCCCAAGTATTATAAAAGTTCCAAGACACTGTGACAGGTAACACCTATAATCTACCAGTGACAAGAAACATTTCTTATCTCAGGAAAAGCACATCCTTTTTTTAAACATCTGCAAGTATACTTGATACTTCATCCCAGCTGGGCCCAACACTGTACTTTAATGATACATTTTTCAGCTAGAAGTGTCAGCTGATCTCAAAAATGGTAAAGTCAAGAAATACAAAATGACATGTGGTGGTTTAAATTCAGTCCAATCAGTCTAAATTATACAGGAAAGAAAAAGCCTAGCTTGAACAGACTAGAACTTGAAAGAACATCAAACACAATTAGGATACAGACAGAATAAGTGAAAAACAAAGGATATTACCCCTTTTTAGATTTGTCTATACATTTGTTTAACACAAATATCACTTGTTTCCTAAGTATGAATTAATTCTTGTGCCTCTAACTTCATTAGTTCATATAATTGAATACTAGTTGTCATAGATAAAGTAGAAAACTAAGGCTAATTACTTGGCTTGTTTGGCTAACTAAAAAATAAAGATGAACTCTGTGCCTGGCAGGCAAATAACTTGATTCAATTAAGTATAACATGCATTATCTTTTTCCTTTCTTTAAAAAAAAAAAAAAAAAGAACGGATTCTATAATGATAAACTAGGAAGACTGGCTATGGGATTATTGCTTCCTCTCTTGATAAGCACTCCAATTAAAAAATTTCACATTGTGAGTCAACCCCAAGAGTGAAAATGTACATGACCAATAAGAAATATAAATAGCTCCTTAATTTTAATCTCTTTCCCCTTCATTCAAAAGGCATCTTGAGGAAGAGCAAAGATATTAGAATCATGTGGATTGGTCAAGCCCAGTACCACATGTCTCACCTGGACAGAGCTAGTCATAGTGCTCAGAGCAAACACTGTTGCACAGTCTTTGATAGTTGACTGGCTATCAAAGGCACCCTGTGTATCCATTAGCAGCACAGCCACCTATGAATATAAAGGTTTAAAATACTAAGTAAAATATTCACTAAAAGTTACTATAAAGATCAAGTAGAAATGATAAATGTTGAAATCAGATACTAAGTCAAGAAAAGTACTCTGGTAAATATCATGCATTTTTGACATAATAATCCATATACATTAAGGTTATCAGATATTACTAGTTCTGTGCTGTTGGAGCTTTAATACCAGAAAATAGCTTAAGTAAGAGTACAAGAGAGAAAAACAGTAATGTGAAAATAGCATTTTACTTTTGTTCCATTAGGTCGGTCAATCACAAACACTTCATTCCAGACTTGTATGCCCGTTGTTTCTCTTTCGCAGCCACCTCGCCATGTAAAGCCAGTCAGTGGTTCATTGTTTCCACCAATCCAACTTTGAGAATCCTGTTTAAGTCAAGCATAAATGTAAAGTAAAACACAAAATTTAAAAACGAAAAAAGAATGTAAGAAATCACCCATTCCTTGTTTTACAGATGAGGAAGCTAGTCCAGAGACAGAAAATACACTGCAACATTATGCCAGTAGTTACACATGCAGCCCCAAATCTCTTCTGGGGTGCTTTGCAGGAGATATGGTGTCAAACCTGAAATGTCTTAAAGCTGTTCGCTATTTACTCTCTAGGCGTCTAGATAAGTGGGATCACACACACTTTTCCCCCTTTTGGGAAGATTCCCAGTAACATTTTTAAATTATAAAAAATAGTTTCCACAGCCATTTTGACATCTCCTTGCACAGAAAAACAAAACTAAGTTCTAGACAGAATGGCTGTCAAAATAGCACAGTTCTCTTAGAATAGCTTATACTAAAATGTTTTCACACTGCTTTAATTTTCTCTTTAAAAAGAGTATCAACTTTAAAAATAACCATGAGACTTGTTTGGAATCTGATCCAAACAATCCAAATGTAAGGAAAAAAAGTCTTTTTCAAAATCAACAGGGAAATGTGATTCAGACTGGATATTGTAGTAGATGGTGTTAAACAGGGGCAAACATGATTGTTAGGTGTGATAATAATATTGTGATTATGCCAAAATAATAATAATAATAATAATAGTCATTATCTGTTAGAGACTGTTATTTATGGTGAAAGGATACATTTGACACTTGCTTAAAATATTCCAGAAGAAAAAGGGGGGTAAGGGCATCAAGGAGGAAAATACTGATAGGTAAACTAGGGTTTGCTACACTATTCTATTTTGAGGTTATGTTTAAAATTCTTCACAATGAAATGCTAACCACAGAGCTAAAGTTGTTCATAAGTAATTTGTCTGGAAATATTAACCTAGGTCACAATAAATTAGTTAACTTTAGTCAGATGTCAAGATTCCTATATCCCATACCCTTTAAAGTATTCCACAGAAAAGATTCCTTTGTTTCAGAAATACTTCTAATAGCTTGAACACATACTCCAAAACAAACAGTAAAGCTCAAATCAAGGGTGAGAAAAGATGTTTAAGGTAGGTTCAATAAGGAATGAAGTCGTTTATTAAAAAAGCTGGTATAAATGGGAGGAAAGTATCATCTAGTCCATTACCTAATGTGAAAACTCAGCCTCAAACTTTAAACCATCTATAATTATTAGCCCACAAAACTCCCATCCCCTGTAGTTTACCAATCCAATCAATAACAAAATTCTCTTGGATTCTTTTATGTATGATATTACTATAATATCTCAAAAAAGCCTTTATCTTTAAAGTGATAAATACTAAATTACTTACAAATGAAATAACATCTGAATACGTTGTAATAATAAGAAGGTATTAAATGAGTTAGGGTATGGATGAAAAGAGAGGGATGAAATTGATAATTGCTAAAATTATCAGTGGACATTTATTATACTGTATCTACTTTCAAGTGACTAAAATTCTTTATAATAATAAAGTTTCAAAAAGAAAAAATAGGAAGTGGCCTAGGGGTTAAGTCTCAGCACTATCACAGCTACAGCCTGAGTTTGATCCCCAGGCAGGGAGTTAACCATGTAAGGTGCAGCAGACCTGTCCTGTCTCTCCCGCTTCTCCCCTAAGCAGTTATTTCATTAAATCTGCCTGTTCTTCTCCCATTGTCTCTGGTGAATCCTCTCACCTCCTGCTACATCCCAGTTCGCGTATGCATAAATAAATAAAAATAAATCTTTTTTAAAAAATAAAAGGACAAAATATGACAGAAAAGTCAAAGCAAGGCTGTACAGCATTAAGAATGCTTTATCTAACAGCTGGGACTACATTAAATTAAAGAGCTGCTGCCCAGCAAAAGAGACAATAACCAAAACAGAGAAACCCCACCGACTGGGAGAAAACTTTTGCACACAACACTAACGATAATGGACTGATCACAAAAATCTACAAAGAGCTGATGAGACTCAACAAAAACAAAATAAATAATCCAGTCAAAAAATGAGCAGAAGAGCTAAAGAAACTTCTCTGAAGAGGAAATGCAAATGGCCAACAGGCATATGAAAAAATGTTCAACATCACTTGTAACCAGGGAAATGCAAATCAAAACTACAATGAGATACCATCTCACACCAGTGAGAATGGCACATATTAAAAAAACTAGCAACAACAAATGTTGGCGAGGGTGTGGAGAAAAAGGAACTCTCCTGCACTGCTGGTGGGAGTGCAAACTGGTCCAACCACTATGGAGAGCTGTGTGGAGATTTCTGGACCTACTAAACATAGAACTTCCATATGATCCAGCAATTCCACTCCTAGGTATTTACCCAAAGGACGCAGAAACATTAATTCCAAAGAGCACCTGCACCCCTATGTTTACAGCAGCTCTATTTACAATAGCTAAGCTATGGAAACAACCCAAATGCCCGAAAATAGATGACTGGATCAAGATGTGGTATATATACATAATGGAATATTACTCAGCAATCAAAAAAGATAAACACATGCAATTTGCAGCAACATGGATGGAGCTGGAAGGGATCATGCTCAGCAAAATAAGCCAGAAAGAAAAAGAAAAATACCGGATGGTCTCACTCATAGCAGGAATTTAGAAAACCTAAATAAGGGGCCAGGAAAAAGACTAACTATAATAAAGAAAAAATCAAAATCAACAAGTAACTGTAAACACACTACGGTGGGGTTGGGGGGTGGGGGCAATTGTATGGAGAATATAACCAAAATGAAAATGCATACATTGTGCAAAAATGAAAAATGATGTAAGAATTATATATTTCTTTAAAAAAGAATGCTTTGTCTAGAAAAGTTCAACTAGCAACTATCACTATTACTTATTTTCAAAATATCCCACATTAACTTTTATACACATTTATACAACTTAATTATACTAAATTAACTTTTAACCTTTCTAAACTGACTCCTACAATTGAAACTATTTTTTACATGAAAATTTGATCAGCATTTTTCTGACTTCCTATTGACACTGCAATAACCTACTTCACTGTGGAAGCAGTGAGTCACAAAAATCGGCTTCCTAAAAGGTATGAGATCAAATCAAACATCCTATGACAGTTAAATGGATAAATAAAATCCAGTATAATCACTGTAGTGGCACATTAAGATAACAAAAACGCAAAACCATGAGTACATTTCATAGACAAAATGTTAATGAAGTAAAATCAAACACAAACCCCAATTGTGTAATTTCACTTGTGTGAAGTTTAAAAATAGGCAAAACTAGTCCACATAGAGGGAGTTTACAATATCGGTCACCTTTTGGGGGTAGATACTAAAAAGGAGGAATATAAGGGGGAGAGGAGTGGGGGCATTTCTTATATTATCATCTGGATAGGGGTGATACGGGTGCACACATACATACAATTTCATCAAGCTGTATACAAGATCTGTGCACTCTTCTGCATGTAAATTCTACTTCAAAGGAAAATTTAAACAAAGGAAAGATACATTTGCCTCAACTCCACCCCCAATTAACCAAGTCAGCATTAAAAAGGAAAAGGCATAGAATACTGACTATACACAAATATTTTAGAGTGAGAAGTTAATCTCTCTGCCACCGGCATCATCAATTCTGTCTCCCATTACAGATCTTAATCTCCGGTTATGTGACTGCCCACACATGTGATTTTGTTTTAAAAGACTGACCTAATCAACTTAATAATTCTTACATAAATTGTTATCATTTTTCATTTCGTAACTTTTTGAGAATGACTAGTGTATCATCAGTACTTGAATTCCTGCAGTTTACCTCCTGCCTTGCAGTCATCATGACTGTCATAAGTCAGTCTATATTCTATAAGTCAGAGAGTCTCTATTTCCCAATAAAAGTTTAACTATAACAAAGTATCAATTCAACATAAGAAATTTTATTCTAGAAAAACTTTTAATTCATCTCTCAAGTTTACAAAAGGCTAATTTTTTCTTTCTTCCTGTACTTCAGATAAAACTTAACTTTCCTAATACATGTAGCAATTCAAAAACAAACTGTCCAAGAGACTATTTCACAAGAAAATGAAACCTAAAAACCAGAATTTCCCTAATTAGCAAAAAACTGGTAAAAGTCACAGCATAATCTTAGCTAAAAAAAAAAAAAAAATAGCTAGTGTTTTTGTTTCTATCCAACTGTTATGATCCAAAATTAAAATACTCATCTATTTCTTTTTTAATTTTTTTTTAAAATAGAGGCATGCTTTATTTATTTATTTATTTATTTGTTTGTTTTTGTTTATACATGCACTGGGTACAGTCAGAAGCATGGGAGGGTGAGAGAATTCACCAGAGCCAGAGCAGAGAGCAGAGCAGGCAGAAGGACCGAAGTACACTGCTGAGGGGAGCAGAGGACGGCAGGAGAGGTCTGCGCGCCATGTGGGACCCTCCTCTGGTGGCCGGGGAGCAGCCAGGGATTGAACCGGCGCCGCGGAGGCCGCGGGCAGCTTCGCAACCCAGTGCTCAACCGCTGCGCCACCGGGGAGGCCCAATACTCATCTATTTCTAAATCACAAAATAAAATGTTCACGTTTCACTCCTTTAGTGAACTGCATCCTTGGATGCAGTAACTTGGAGCAATACAGAAGACCTACTAAGTCAGGATGACCCATTGCTTATCTCCTACTTCTTTAGGCAGCCCGCCACCCTCCTAGGCACACAGGGGAATGAAACACATCCAAAGCTGCCCCACTGTTATTTTTCCTTATTGTCATCTCCTAGGAAAAGCATGACCCACCACTAAATTATTATAATTAGTGGCATGCTATCCTAAAAAAAAAAAAAAAAAAAAAAAAACAGTTTGTAATTTTTAATTCACAAACCAGAATAAGATTTATATCAGGAATTCTATAGGGAAATCTTACAAATGAACATTCTAAGCACACTGCTGTTTAGAAACCACTAACTAGGTATATAACCACACTCAGACCATCACAACTTTTCTGTGGCTTCAGTATCTCCCCAAGAAAGGAGAGATTTCACTAGTTCAGAAAGTGACAATACAAGACAGATGTGTGGATGGCTACTCCCACGAAATGATCAGAGGTGGAATCAGAAATCGCACTGGAGGTAAAAATTATCTGTCATTACTAAACAAGTGATCTAAGTTATCTTCCCATTCTAACATCTATTGTCTATGACCAACTTGGAATCAATACATCGCAGTGAACTGATACAATATCCAGAAGTCAGAGTTAAGGAACAGGAGGGGAAAAATCACCTCCTGATACCATTAAAAAGGTGAAAATGTATAGAGAAAAGAAGATATAGACCAATTACTGTATTAGTCATGGGAGCCACAGTAATAAAGAGGTTAAACCAGCCAGGAAATAATGTAATATCAATGAAAGATCACATGTGCTGTGAAAATTGGGAAGATAAATATATATATTAAAAAAAAATTGGGGCTCCCTGGTGGCACAGGGGTTAAAGTGCACTATCAAGCTATCGCCAGCTACTGCAGCAAGAGTTCAATTCCTGGCTGGCCAGGAAGAAACCGACATGGCACAGCAGGACTCTCCTGCCTCGCCAACTGCTAGAGCCCCTAAGCAGTGAATTTCAGTGGATCTGCCTGTTCTGTTTCCTACTCTGTTGAATCCTCTCACCCCCTGCACCTCTGGCTTACACCCCAGTTCTTGTATGCATAAATAAATAAATCTTAAAAAAAAAAAAGTAACAGTCACTGACGATAACTTATTTGAGATACACAGATGTACTTTCACATAGTCTCTTAGTAAACTACTCTTCACCCATTATTGTAGAAGTGACCAAGATAACAACAGGGGAGAAACTGAAACTTTAGGACATTACTTTTAAACAGGATTAGCCGGCATTTTTAAAACTGAGTTCAATTAAAAAAACACTACTTACCTTGTTATACATATATCTAAGCATGAAGTCCAATAGAAATGATTTCCCTTTACGAAAAGCTCCTGCCACGGATACCACTACTATGTTAAGATCTCGTATGTGCTCCTGCAGCAGTATCTTTTCCAAAGCTGCTTCATCAAGCTCAAAGTTATGGTCATCTTCATGAGCAAGAACAATCTGCACTGGACATGGTTTCTTCATAACCTCATCAGAATTTACTAGGTCATCATCTTCATAATCCTCACCTAAAATTAAAAAAGAGAAACGGGTTACATTAATCACTGCACTACAAACTTTTCCTGAAGGATCACAACTGAAGCAAAATTTCAAGTAACATTTCCCTTCCCCCCCATGTGAAAATAATTAAAAAGTGATGTTTAAGGATGCATTAGATTTCTCACTCCCTCTACATTAGGACCAAGAAAACTTATAGAATTTTCCTCTATATATACATGGGTAAACAGCAATACTAACTGTGGCCTCTGTCTCAATTAAACTGAACAGCTAAATTATGGACAGCTGTTCTTGAGCACTGCATTATTCTATAAACAACTCCTGTTACACCAACCATACAGAAACTAGATTCAGAAGGGGAGAAAAATCAATTTCACCTAGAAATTCAGATCCCAATTTTCCCCACAGGTATCACCTAGAAAACTATTCCAGGTAATCATTTTAAACAATGATTAAAACATGTATCTGTGAACTATAAACAGTATTTTTCATTCTGAAACTTAAAGGGCTAAGTTAAAATCTACGAAGTTTCCACGTATTACATGATCTATTTAACAGGTCCCTATTAAGAAAAACATAAGAGTATAGCCTGTCTTATTAAAGCAAAGCACAGGATTGTTTTGTTGGGAGACAATGCTCAGTGAGGTATAGTTACATACCATAGTTTCATATACCTATGGGCTCTTTTTCACCAAACACTAGGCAGTACTTCAAGGTTACAAAGCTCCTTAAAAATAGCTATATAAATGTGTCCTTTACTCATCATGGCACACCAAAAGACAGTAAACTTTACAGAAAAACGTTACTGAACAGGGATAAAGGAGTGAAGAAACAACTACACAACATGTATAGCATGGACAAATTTCTATAGTTTAGGTTTCTGATCTTTAAAAAACACAACTGCATAGTTAGTTCCAGCGGTTATATACCTTGTCTGGCATTCTTCCCTATCAACAGCTTGATATCAAGTAGCAACAAATTATTCCTGGGGACCTTGTCCTCTTATTATCAATTTTTTAAGAGACTCTTCCCTTGAGCCTGTTTACTAAGTGCCAGAGATAATACAGAATCTACTGTGTTTAATACTGTGACAGTCCCTCCTCTCAAGCAGACAACCAGTCACGAGAAGCGGCACATGATTAGGCAACAGTGCAACGACACCTTATGCACATGAAACACTATTCTCGGAGCAAAGATTATAGAGGTACATGAATGGACTTTTAATCTCTTTACAGAAACATTTAGCTTATTTTTTTTTGCAAGACTATTAGAACCTTTACCTTCACATCATATATGTAGCAAAATCTTTATATACATACTGTACTTTGTACATACAATATAGTTAACTATATAGACAGCAAAATCAACAACACTATTTCAAATTGTGCTGCAAACAGTGACAACACAAAATGAAGAGCAAGTAATTTCAAAGGACCATCTTTGGAAGTAAAGGTAGTTAGCAGGTAAATTAAAAGGGTATTACTACTGCCTTTTTCAGTGATATACAGCTATACAGTGATATACAGATGTGCTAAATGAATGCACAAAACAGTAAACTTTTCAGGAAAGGTACAATATAGTTAAAGTAAGGTACAATATTAAAGCTACATATATTGTTAAAATTAATACATCATTAGGTAAGTCCATGAAAATGGCGAAACAGTATACCATCTGAATGGTAAAAAGCTCCAAGCTTAATCAGGGGTGAAGACCATGAACTGGAACACAAACTGCCAAGAGGCCTGTCACAATTTCTCTGTTCCTGTTGTCTCACCTGTAACATGCGGACATGGGGATTATAATAGTACCTATCTCAGAGAGCTGGCACCATGATTAAGAGAGTTGGAGTTGAATATATACAGTTTACAGAAAGCACTACAGGCATTTGTTATTAAAGTAACAGTAATTTTAAAATCTTTACTTAATGCCACAGTCAATTTCAACTGACCAGTATAGCTGTGAACTTGTTACAGGACAGGGAGAGGGGCAGCCCAAGCCCCGCAAACCTGCCTATTCTAAATGGGTTCTGCCATCCGCCGCATCAACACAAAACATAGGAGACTTTAATGGGAAGAAACTTTAATAAAACTAGGAAACAATACAGGTAAGGCAAAGAGTCTAGTTTCTCAATGAAGCACCCAAAGTTACCCATCCCCTCATGGGTAAAAGTCCATCCATATGGGATTGGCCCAGAGCAAGGCCCCAAAGCCTGCCACAAGTCTAAAGCACCTTCCAGTGGGGACCCACAGAAAAGGGCCAGAAACAACTGGACAAGCCCGGAAGGAAAAGAGCAAAATCAACATCAAGATAAAAGCTGCCATGGTCACCTCCCCACGGGTCTCACCCACATCTGTGTCACCCAGTCCACGACCAAAAGGCAAGCGCAGTTTCTTCACGTGTCTCTAGGCTCCATGCGCCTCCTCCAGGTCTCCTTCTGGCTCCATCCTGCTTCCTTCCTCAGTCTCTTCTGCAGCTTCTCTCTTCCTGCTCAGCTCCACCCTTCCTTGGGTGGGGCAGGGAACGTGGAACCTCCCCCTTTCCTGGGGACCACCCTGTTACAAACTGACATCACCAACCATTCGTTAGGCACAAACCAGGGAGCTGTCCTTGATACAACTCTCCTTTCCCTTATCTGTAAATTTAATCAATAACCAAGGTCTAAAATTTGTCTTCATTCAAAATCTCTACTAATGCCACCCCTGTTCCCATCACTGCCATCTTTCTTTCCGAGCAGTACCTAACTGGTCTCCCTGCTTGTCCCCTTCTCTAATCCAAACCAATGTAACCTCCACAGAGCAGCAAACTAAATAATATTACTCTTCTTTTTAATATCACTGTTACAAAGAATTAATAATCAAAATCCTACACATGCCTAGTAAGATCCTGTACTGTCAAATCTCTCCTGCCCCATTTGGTGCTACTCTCCCCTCTGTAAACTACAGATAGACAAACCAACCCTTTTTTTAGATTGTTATGCTATTACTAAGCTCTTTATAAACTCATTTCACTCGTGATAGTCCTCTTCTTGGGATGCTCTTTTCCATGTTGTTCCCCCAATTGATTCATACTTACTCCTTAAGTCTCAGCTTAAATATCATTTCCTTAAGAATACCTCCCCTGAGGTTCCTAACCAATCTTAACCCACCTATAACTTGACTTTCTATAAAAACTCTCCAAGATGCTCAATCTCTGCTTAAAATCCTCAATTAGTTTCACACTGTAACCAGAAAATACAAAGGAAAAAAAGGGATGGGGGGAGAAACTCTTAAGTTCCTTAGCATGCCTCCACAGTCTTTTATGATCTGGCCTCTGCCTCCCCTCGGGGTTCATCTTGTATCACACTACTGTTCAAAAGAAATCTTACTGACTTAGAATAGGTCACACCTGTTTCCCATCTTAGAATTTTGGCCCTATGTTCTCCTCAATCTGGAATGTTCTGTCCCTAGAAATTTAATTTGGCTTTAATTCTTCATCATTTGTGTGTCAGTTCAAATGTCATCTCTTCAGTGTAGCCTTCTTTAATCATTCTGTCTAAATTACAGACCCTTTCTCATCAATTAGACAGGACAGGGTTTTTTTTTTTCTTTTTAAAAGATTTATTTAAGAATACAAGAGCTGGGGTACAGGCCAGAGGGGTAGGGGGTCAGAGATTCACCAAAGAACAGAACAGGCAGATTGACTGAAATACACTGCTGAGGGGAGCAGCAGGTGAGTCAGGAGAGGTCTGCTACGCCATGTAGACAACTGCTCCCTGGCCGGCTGGGGAATCGAACTTGTGCTGGAGTGGCTGCAGACAGCTTGCATCTTAACCCCTTGCACCACCAGGGACGCCCTAGCCAAGACAGGTTTTTTTTTCCCACAGACCTTCCAAAATCCAAAGTAACTTTTTCATTTGTTTACATGTGTACCATGTATCTCTCCCAGATTCCCAAGATGTGTGTGCCACAAAATAAGGATCTAAATCATCCTGTTGACCAATCTCTCTCCCAGCACCTTGAACAGTATTTGACATGCATGTAGCAGCTGTTTAATAAATAGTTTGTGAAAGAATGAAATGCAAATATTTCACTCAGGAGCTTTACATCTACCCCTTACCTATTTTATAAGCCAATTTTATAATCACATAATTTGTAATGCAAATGCCCGACTTGAGCTTTTAGAGGTCACTTCAAAGAGTGCTAGCTTGAAAAGACATTCCTAGCCACATGACTAAAGAGCCAGGCTGCCTTCCCTACGCGCCACTGAGGCTCCTTTTGTTTCACTTGGCTGATGTAGATAACTGGACAATTGGGGCCACCGTGCCTTATTTTTACCTTTCTCCCTTCCCCTCACTTTAAATTCCCACTTATTTTTTAAATTCACCAATAAAGAGTTAGCCTGAAAAACCCTAGGTCTCCACCTTTGAACCCAATAAAAGCAGGACCCTCGGGCCATGCTTATGCTATCTACTCTTCCCTCTGCAACCTCACCTTCTCCCTCCAGCCTCACCTGTGGCCCTAAGTGTGCTATGTAATCTCCAGATCTTATAATAAAGCTTTATTGTTTTTGAAGTTTCCTTATGGTTATTGCTAAAAGGCATCTTGCAATCACAGTAAGAACCACACAGAACAGTCCAGCCACAACACTGGTATTGATAGGCTAAAATGGCACACCAATCTATATAGAAAATGGTGGTTTTATTTCCATTCTTCATTGCCAAGAAATTACTGGAAAGGGAATGGTAGATTTCTGTCTTCAAATACATGTTCCCAAATCACTGTTCCAAGTCAGTTCTCCCACTCCAGTCCAAAAAGGGATCTTTCAAGTTCAAAGCTAAAACACACCTACAGACAACTGTTCAGCAAATATTTCTCCATACCTTGACACTAAGTACACATAGTAACCTATTTCCAAAAAGGTCTATAAAGAGTCACCTGGCACCTATCTTCAGAAAAAGATCACTAGTTGCCAGAGGTTGGGGAAGGGAAGGAAGAAGTGATGAAGAGGTAGAGCACGAAAGATTTTTAGGGCA